TGCTTTACAAGGCAACATAAAGGAATTATACAAAACTGTTGATATTATACTTATATTGCGCTACTGTATAGAAATAAATTTATTATTATATGAAAATGCTCTCACAACATAGAGGAATTATAACAAGACTATGGAATTCAAAGTAAATTAATATTGATTATAATTTCTCCATCTATTGATTGCAGGGAGGGTGTGTTAAGTTGGAATGGAAGGTGTTAATGTACATAACATGAGCCTTAGGGCTATACTCAAACATCAACACCAAATGATGTCTGCTTACAATGTAAATGTTTATTTCTCAATTACTGGGTTCAATTGTACTATTCAATGGGATAGGATTTAAGTCCATCTTTATTGCCTAAATCCTCTCATTCTCACTGTAACTACCATAGCCAATTCCAACAGGAAGAATAAATAAGATGACAACCTAAAATTAACAATTAGCGACAATATGCTGGTTTTGGGATGGCATGCCTCAAATGCTCTAATTCTATAAATAATTCCAAAAGGAAAAAATAAATAAGATGGCAACCTAACACACATTAAAAACTGATTTAATGTGAATGAATATTGATTAAAAATTTTATGTTTATTGACTTCATATAGTACCGTACATTATTGTTACTGTAAGTTTGAAAACACAACTCCTACTTGCTTGCATTATATGGTATACATTGCCTAATCATAAAAAGCTTTTAATGTCTTATTTTAAACATTGCATTGACATTCCATTACATTGTTCAAGTACTGTAATGGTTTTGTGGAAATGTGATTAAGCGAACCTATCTATGTATAAATAAAGTCATTAAATCTATTATATCAAAGAGTATAAATAGAACAAGAGAGCCAACAACGCTCATTGAGAGCGTAAAAAAACGATACGCCCTACGCAGCTAGTGTAGGACACCAACTAACGCTTGTATGTTTTTTATTACCCAGTACTCCACCGCGCACGGTCGGTTTGTCTGTTTATCTGTTCTCTCCACAAGATACTGTACTTTTGTTTTCTGCTTACTGAGTTTATAGCGGGCGTACTTCTACCGCGCTGCGCAGCGCTGCACTGGGTAATAAAAAGAACATACAACCGTTAGTGGGCGTCAGGGTTTTAAACAAGCAAATTTCCAGGAAAATTCCAGGACATTCCAGGTCAAATTTTCCGAATTTCAAGGACTCATAATATCTCTTATTACTATAAAAGTAAAACAATTTGCCAATTTTACGATTGATTATACAACATGCATGCTGTACTAATTTTAATTGCAAGATGTTCTTATGCATATTTTTATTTAGTAAATCAATTTAGTTGTTTCCATCACAGTAAAGACCTTTGGTTGATTGCATATTAAGTTTTACTTAAATCTACTTCAGAGGCGATAGATCAGTGTCTTTTTCTCACGCTCGTGGGAAATTCTGCTTGTCTAGCACGTGTGCTGATAAGCAAAGGAATTCATCCCACGAGTGTGGCAAGTAAGACAGAGCCTACAGTTGAACTACAGCAGACCTGATTCTTTGCTAGGCAACAAAAATGTGCGCGTACAACATTGTCTTATCGCTAAACCTGTCGGTGGCTTTGTGGTACCGGCGTGTCAGTAATAACTTGATTCCATTTTGACGCCTCGGTGGAGTGTACGCGTGTTCAGGGGTATTCAATAATTTACATGAAAGAAGCTGTAGCGATGTTGACATTGCTAAGTAATAGCCCCCGGTGTCCTAATCTCCTTCGTTTTGGGTACATGTTGCGGAGATCTCAATTGTTATTTCATACATATTGGTCATTAAAATGTTGAAACTTGTTAAATTGTACATTGCCAAGTCGTTTATTTCATCTTTGTATTCATGGTTATTATTTATAATTAATATTATAAACCTATGTAAACTTTTAAATTCTATTATACAGCAAATGTTAACGTACAATATGTTTGTGATGATTGCATTTTTTTATACGTAGAGCAAATACATACTGTATACATTGTAAAATTGAATTATCAACATTTGCAAGCACTAAATTTAACACAGAATAGCAACACAAACATGACAGCATATTCCTTTTAAAAATCCACTTTATTTGAAACAATGCCATAGGTATGATAGTTTCTGGATTTACATATTTTTTATTTCTTCTAATTTTGAAGCTATGTTCGCCTCAATTTCTGCCAGTAATGACTTTTTCTCAGCGGCAGTTCGACGCGCAGGCTGTTCGCTTTTGATGATACGGTCAGACCATAGAGAAAATACTGTAGAACATTTCTTTATGGTCAGACTACCTTTACACTCGGCCTGATCAGCAAACCTTATGGATTACTTTTTCAGACCTTCAATATCAGCGCAATACATCTTTTTTTACTCTTCTTTAAATTATCTAACTCATCTAGCTTAGATTGCCTCTTTCATGTTTTCAACGCCTCGGCTGCCATAACCCTGTCTGCGCTAAAAAAAAATATGCTGTACAGTACATAATCAGTCGACAGTGTATACATGCCCAAATTTAGCATGTATTTCACAGTACCGAAAATTATTAGTGCCCCTACATGTACCCGCCGCGCGTCTCCTTTGTGTAACGTCAAAGAGCGAGAGACGCACGTGTGTAAAGTAAATACTATAGACATGCCACCCTACTTTTGAGAAATAGCTACAGTATGCGGGCAACGGTCTGTACTTTAATTATGTACGTGTATTGAAAAGACAAAAAAAAAAACGAACATTTATTAGTTTATTTTAATCATGACCTGGAATTTACGTATATCATGTGAAATACGATAAATGTGTAAATAATCAAATTTCCAGGACATTGAAGAATTATTCAAGGACAATCATAAATTTCCAGGACTTTCCAATACTGGAAAATGCTCATTCGTTTTTCCAGGACATTCCAGGAATTTAAGGACGCGTACGAACCCTGGGGCGTCCTACACAGGCGTGACGTTTTTACGAACGGGACTTTGCTCTCTTGTTCTATTTATACTATTTGACTGTATTCAGTCAAAGATATGGATATTTTACAGTTCTACTGTACGAAGTCACTCTCTCATGCTTACTCAGAATTTTTTACATTAATTTATTAATTTTGTGTCAGACACTAACCAGTCAATTCTAATGAATAAAGTCTATGGTAGCCTAAATATATTTTGTGAATTCTTAAATGTAAAATTATTTTACAGAGAATAATTTTAAGGAAAATTATTTTACAGAGAATAATTTTAAGGGCCAATCAATTTGTTTACTAAAGTAAAATTCAATGGGATCAACAATTCGATTTCATTTTGTTTGACCAATACCGTAAATGCTCAAAAATTATAAAATTAAAATTTTTGGAGGCTTCAATGCGGCGCTCATTCAAGAGCAGTGCTTATTAAAAAAATATTGGCATGGCGCTTTCCATTGTTCCTATTGTTACCAATCTCACATATTCCTATCAGTAGGCATATCAAAGACCCTACACCATCTAAAATTAACGTTTATAAAGATATGCTTGTCTTTATTGTGTAATTTATTCATTTGAACACTGTATACATTGTATTTATTACCCTATAAATTAAGTGCAGCAGCGCTTATTCAAGAGCGGCACTTATTTGAGCATTTACAGTACTTATTGAGGATTCACTCTCATCAGTTCAGCTTAATTTAATTAAATAAATTAAACATTGAGATGTCCATAAACTAGGTTTATAATAATAATATACTTTTTCACTTGATTCCCTTGGTACACTTGATTCACCCAAGGGTGTTTTTCCATCAAGGTTCTGTAAGGCCATGTAAAGAAACAAAACATAAGGTAAAATAAGAAATAAGACAAAATTACAATTTAAATAATAAAATAAGAAATTTTCTCAATTTGCCTGGTACTGCAATATTAAATTAAAATGTATTCAAACAAATCTGTAAATAATTATAGTAGTATTAAACACACAAGTACTGGTCTAACTGCTTTTCAATTTATCACTGTAACTGTTTTTGAACAGAGTTTCAATTTTATTCTATACCGGTACTTAATAGGTATTGTAAGTTTTCAGTAGAGTTCTACAATAACTACTACATAGACATCCTGATGAAATATTAGTAAAGAAAGATTGCATAGTCACACCTACTGCACATAATGTAGAGACATAATTTTTTTGTTTTTAAAAATAAAAACCTCATTTGAAATTTTACCTCAGCCTCAATTTGTTCTTAATTTTCAAGCAATTTCAGCCTCAGGGTTCTTATAAAATGTGTTCTTATAAAAAAATAATAAAAAGTGTAGTCTAACCTAATTCAATGTGAGGTCAACAAGAAAGTATGTTTTGTACTAGTGTCTGTAAAATAAACTTAGGAAAATATTTGACCCATATAGTAAATAATTCCTTTTGTCTATAAAGTAAAATAGCAGTAAATATTTGATTTTTCCATTATTGTATGGTAAAACCTTGAATAGAAGCCCAGTGGGCTTAATCTTGAGAAGCCTATCTCGAATTGAAGCCCCCTCTTTAGTTTGCAAATGTAGCCTCAAAACGAAGCCCACAGGCTTCTTTTCAAGATAGCATGGGCTTTTTCAAGACAGTACAGTACATGCATTGTACATGAATTTCAAAGAAACAAAATAAATTTAAAACATGTTCGGTTTATATAGTAGTTTAGGTGATTTAATGCCGGTTAATACATTTTTTACGATACAAATTCATGTTACAGTGGCTCTATTTATTGTTTTATATCAATAATTCCCAAAATTTACAGCATTCATTTTGAAAAGCCCCCCCTCCCCTCACTTTACTTTGCAAAAGTAGCCAAGAAAATAAGTCCATCTCAAAAGAAGCTTAGCCCACTCAAAGCTTGATAAAAAAAAAAAAAAAGCCCAGGGCTTCAATTCAAGGTTTTACAGTAGTGTATGTTGATATAAAAATATTGGTTATGAGTGATAATACAAAAAATATTGGATTTACCAGTATCTCCGTCGGGGAGGCCATCAAAATATATACTGTACATACCGGTAATTATTATTACAAGTTATGATAATTCCCACTTACTGTACAATCTAGCTTTCCATAGAGGTGAGATCCAATCAAACGAAAACTAAAATCACAAAGTAGAAGCGAGGTCAAAATGGGAACATTCAGGTCGACAAAATATACATAAGCACAACTGAAAATCACAGCAAATTGAGTCAAAGGAGGACCAGAACCGATCACTTGATGCACTGCTTAGTCTTGCCCGCCCAAATGCGCAAATGCAATATGTGAGTTAATGGAAAAACAACTGATGCGTCTCTGCGTTAATGCCGAGATTTAAGAAATTTGAAAGCTGTCAGTAAGTGGAGAGAATGATGGCAATCTTGATGACTAATACGACATCGACTCTAAGAAGGTCTGCACGCAAGTAAAATCGTTCATGCATTTAATCGAGACAATTTCGCATCCTCTGTGTAGAGAGAAAATGGGATGCTAATATACAGTAAGTACAAAAGAGATGTTGCTTGATGATGGGTGTATTGTTTTACTTTGCTGTTTGAATATCATTGGAAATTACTGCATATAATACCTGATAATAATAAAATAGATAGCATCTGTACATTAAATCACAAATGGTGGGCAAGATTGCCTGAATTTGTTGCCTACCCTTTTTTTTTTATTATTGCCAATCAATACAGTTAATAATTATATTTGTTGCACCTTGAGCCGATGTCTATTGTCTTCAAGATGTGTGTTGCATTATTCAAGTTTTTTTATTATTGCCAATTAATACAGTCAATAATTATATTTGTTGCACCTTAAGCCGATGTCTATTGTCTTCAAGATGTGTGTTGCATTATTCGAGCAACAATTAGACACCTGTATTCATTCAATACAGGTACATCATCATATACAGTACTTCTACATTTTAAGTATTTGCTTTAGTGTTTATTGGATTTAGTTTAGATTCCCATATCATTAGGAAACTTATAAAATCAGCAGCTAACTTAGTCAAATCTGAATATTTCAACGTGGCTTATGGATCATTACAAAGGATGCAGGCTTGCTTAGACATTTTCCGTACTTTTTTATATTTAAATTAAATTTGATTACATTTTTGTGGTATGTGCATTGGCAACACTTGTGCAAACTTTGATCTTTGCTTTGATACTTTGACAAGTATTGCTAAAGTAAAGAGTAACTTAATAGACAGTTCCCACCCACTAAACATATCTTGTACTTGGCTACCCTCGGGTAAACGGTTGAGTTCACAAACCTGTAAAACAAATAGATGTCTCAACTCATTCATACCACTATCCATTATAATTCTTAATCAAAATAATATCAAATAAGTTTTAGGGCCTAGTTATATTTTTGTTCACTTATCTTTTTTATTAATCTTGTGCTCTTTTTAAATTTTTGCGAAGTTATTCAACTGAATATCTGAAAGGACACAAATTAAAAGAAATTTTAAAATTTGAATCCATTGCAAATCCATGGCACACCAAAACATGAGAATATCATTTTGTATTAACCTGTATTTAATTACCAACACAGATGACCTTTCATTTGAAATATCACTTTGTGTTGATACATTTTTTGAATGCATTACATTACAACACTAATGCTGTACTACTCAGTTGCTAAAAGGGTTACATGTACGATGAACAAATATGCATTTTTAAAGAAACCTATGACATGAATCATTCATAAATATAATTAGGTTCATTTCTGTCATTTTTATTTTTGGAGGTAACTCATTAGTGAGCCAAAGCTGGACTAAATCAGAGTTAATTTAAATTCCTAATTAGCAGCCCTCAATCAAGGACTAATTAATCAATATTCTAATTAACTGATATTTCAAACACAACACATATTAATTATAGGACTGTGGTATTGTAACTGTACATGAATTGATCTGCAGTCTGGAATATCTTAATGACTGACTAAAGAACTTGTTTACTATCCCAAGGTCAAAATATGTAAACCAATTAATATAATTTTCTACAAAAGGATTTATTACTTTCTTTCTATATTTCTTAATTTCCTTAACTTAGCAATGACCCAGTCTGCATTTTTCTATTTGCTGAATAACACAAATAAACACTTTTTTAAATGTTCATCCCAAACAAGGCCTTGGAAGTTAGCTCCAAGTAAGGGGTTTATTTTTAATATTTCTATTAATTCATATTGTTTCAATTTATTTTAGGAAAGTGGCTGACCGGTAGGCTATTTGGCCTATGGCTCAATAAACCTCTTCACAGCAAGCAGAAGTATCTAATCATGGCCAGAAATGGTCAGCATAGTATTTACCCTCCAAGTTTAAGAGACAAAATAAAATCTGCTATGTCAAATTGCCTTTTACCAAAACTCAATACAATTGTTTTTAATGTTTATTGACAATGTGGAATAAATCATAGCATAATACTGTATCATAACTGAAGAGAATTTTCCAATCCACACTGATCCTAGTGTAGGCATTGCATTAGAATGCCGACAGCTTATTTCACATACATGACAACTATTGTTTTCAGTTTGACATTTCTTTGCAGATAAAACTTGATTGTGTATCTGCTGGCATAATTCCAGACAGATGGCTTGGTCATTAACTTAAATCAACATAAATATTCTCCAATTAATTCTGTTACATTTGCATTGCAAAATAAGACCCAGACAATCAGATAATTCTGTAGTCTAAATATTATTAATTCAATCTGTATCATTCATTAATGCTAATTAGAACTAGAAATGCAAACCAAGGGGTCAACAGTCTCTATGAATATTATTGATGAAGACAGGAAAAAATTGTAGATCAAGTGATAATTTTCAAGATGTCAGAATATCTATATTCCATATTATCAAGTCTACACATTATTCCTATGCTAATGGAGTCAATAGAGTTCTTTGAGGTTACCTGTATTCCATGGTCCTAGGTTCAAATCCTGTTACACCAGGATTTTTTTCTCAAGATTAGAATCAACTCATAATTGAAGCCTCTGGTATCAGACTGTTTGAGCTGCCACCAATTGCAATGTTAATTTTTACATTTATCTTAATAGATTATATTCTATTTTTATTAATCAATGTTTCTGTCTGATAATTGTGTAATATCTTGTATCAGCTGATGTGGAATTTCAACTATTGTTATTGATTAAGTTTACTCCTAGGTTGCTTCCTCAGTTGAGCCTTGTATGTTTATTATTTTGACAATATAGACTTAATAAAATATAATTTATCAAAAAAGAGAGTTCTAGAATAAATCACTCAAATTGTTCAGCGGGAAGTGGCAAAGCAATAAAGTGATACATAACTATATTTTGTGCAATTTTATACGACATTTTCACTGTTTACAATACATCAGTGAAGCCTTACAAAGAACAATCATTTTAAATATATCAATTTTTTTTTGTCTCTTTTATTTCTCCAATCTTGGGACTAGTAATTTATCAATGGAGTAAGCCACTTCAATATTTAATATCTTCCATTATTCTGAATTTTCAGAAGTGCTTGTTTGCAGGAGAGTTTTTTCTTGCTCCCCAGAATGCTGGAGACCATGCTAATTTACAGAAGCCTACCATCAGTTGGGACCACCCCTGATAATTGTAATTCAGAGTGTACAATAATATTTGTTTTAATAAGTGTCAGTATAGCAGGCCCGTACCCATGTCCCCTCCAAATTACCAAAGGTCCACATTTTCAAGGGGTAGAAAATTAAAAACCCTCTCTCGCACATTTCAGAAATCCATCTACCTAACCTCCTTGATCAATCAAACTTTTAACAGTATTTATAATGCTTTTTGAGGAATTTTAGTGTTTTCACCACTACTTGCGTGTCAATGATTCACTGCGTCTTCCTTCTAGGTTTCAATCAAATCATTTTTATTCTCGCGTGGAAATCATGCACAGCAGGCACGGATTTAGGCATTCGCACCGTGCATCGTTCACCATGGCGAATGTTGAATATAGCACACAAAGAAACATTAAAAACAATACAGAAAGATTATTGGTTGTCTCAACAAATATATCAGATAATATTGTGTGATTGCCAATGCTCTGGATCCTCTAACCAACGTCCATCCACAGCAGCAGCAGCGATGAAGTAATATTATGACGACATTTTCCCTAATGTACTGTATCTGTGCTTCTAGACTGGCTCCAGTGGTAGTTCCCCTCCACCCTTTCCCCCTCAAATTTGTCAAAATTATTTTTAAAAATAAAAGAAATTTATATTCCAATTAAAGTCATCTCCGGCCATCTAGAGGTGACATAATCATAAATTTGGGGCTGAGGTCTTATAGACTTTCAATCTATGAAATCTATTTCTTGCCCCCTCTATTTCGAATCACTGAAAGTGGCAGATTCAAGAAAGCTTAGTCCTAAATTTTTCAAAATTATAAAGAAAATGATTTTGAAATTGTATGAAACTTTAATTTCCGGCCATTTGGAGGTGCCATAATCATAAATTTTATTCCCTCAGCCCAACTATGGTGGGGCTGAGGTGGTATCTCCTGCATCTGTGAAAGTCCCTCCCATGGGTCCCCCACCCCTTAATAAATACCTGTACCCACCACTGAAAACCGATAATACATATGCATTTTCAGAAATCAATTAAATAAGACCTCAAGCTATCAAAAATGCCTGAGTTCCATCTCCCTTGGTCCCAGCAGGGTTCCCCCAGGCACAACACCCCCATACACCAGAGCAATTTTGGTCCACTATCTACAAATTTTCACCAACCCAATAAAAATCCTGCACACGGGCCTACAGCATGTACTGTAAGTGGCACAATGATGTTGATGACATATTCACTAGCTGCATGTAGGCTTCTTCTGAAACTGTATTGTAGACCTGGGTGGTCCAAGTCGAGGCCTTTTTTTTTTGTTATACCTGACATAAGATTATTTATTAACAGTCATTCATTTCATATAAAACTGACCCTAGCAAAAGGCCTACTGTAGCCTCTATTCCTAGCCTATGCCAATACTACCGTATGTAAAAGACTGGGCCTACTGTAAGCCCTTCCTAGGCGTAGCTAGTAGTAGCAGTAGTACTTAATTAAACATTTAAAAACATCCTTGTTGTCCTTTCTATCTAAAAAATAGTATATATTATATACCTCATACATAAATTCTAGGCATCTGATTGGTTAAGAAGCAGAGAAATAGAAAGTACTATTCCCCTCAAAAAGTACTATTCCCCTCAAAAAGTACTATTCCCCTCAAAAAGTACTATTCCCCTCAAAAAGTACTATTCCCCTCAAAATTTCAATTTCAATTTATT